GAGAAACTATAAATACGCGTAGGAGTAAACGGTCCACATAATTGTCATCGGATAGAAATTGCAATTGCGATATAAATGAACGGTAAGGCTCGCAAAGGAAGCAATAATATAAGATTCTCTTCAAATTCTTTGTTTCTGATATCCTTGACGGAGTACATGTAGTGCTGTGGCCACAATGTCTGTAATTGCAACACGTGTCAGCGAATGAACTGATTTGACCGCATCCGAAACCGCGTGAGTGAGTCCAAGCTCAATTAATCTTTCGTTTTAAGTCTGAAGCAACCGACGGGATTTTCCCTTTCTTCTCTACTCGTGCCATGTGAAGTGAGCTTTCAGTTTGGTTCGTTGGGTCATGAGAATTCAATCGATTCCCACGAGTATTGGGAATTCTGGTGGGAAACAATGGAAAGGTCCAAGATAACAGAATCTCTCCTTCGCGTGGCTTATTTTAAATGGAAAGTACAAAATCAAGGTTAATCCAAAACTGAAAGAAAAGTTGTCGATCATGAACGAGAGGAATCGAGAGTTTTCCGCTTTTACGGTTCATTAATTTTGTTAATGTATTTTTACAAGTTCTAGTGGGAGACAATAGAAAAGTCCAAGATAACAGAGTCGCTCCTTTGCGTGGCTTTTTTTTTAGTGGGAAGTACAAAACCGAGGTTTCGAGAGGAATCGAGACTTTCCCGCTTCTACGGCTCATTAATTTTGTTGATGTCTTTTTACAAAAAAAGTCAAGAAAATGTTTTCTATTCTTTAGGAGGAACAACGATTTTCCTTTTCACAATGTAGTACATGTATAGGAATTGTTTCTTCTTTCCGGTGATGAGTATATTTAGACCACAAAAACACTGAGCGGAAGTAGCTACACATCCCCGGCGAATAACCTAGCCATGGACCATATCATTTCAAAGAATTTTTATCCTGTTCCACATACACAGTGTTCACTGTTTCTCTCCATGTGTACAATAGGCCTTTTGCGAGTCAAATTTGAATGAAATCTGGTACACTGAGTTATCTGATTGCACCTCAACGTAATAACAATTTCAACGTTTCCCCAGACTTAACACAGTGTTATACCTTGTGATTCGGGGAAAGCTTTTGCATAGCGACCACCATCTTTGGAATTGACCAGTTCCTTTGTGCCCTTCGTATCTATTAAAACTCAGTGTATTGGTGTAAGGTGTCTCTTTTGTAGCTAAGCGAAAGCTTGCCCAGAATCACGAGGTATGGCAACAGTGTCTTTAGCACGGAAAATTCACATTGCTATGGACACGTAAATTTAAAGAACTCAGTGTACCAGATTTTATTCTCATTCAACTCGCACAAGGCTTATTGGGAGCTTCCTTCCTTATTGGGAGCTTCCTAATGCAAAGTTTTCACTCACATTAGGAATTTGCGTCGGGTTGACTGACGTCACACGGCGAGCGCGCACACTTTGTCCTTACATTGCTTTGCGGTAACAGCCTCTTTTGTTTTTGTCCATAAGGATCGCTTTCTTTATGCCTGTTGCTGAGTGTCTTTTTAGATGAACGAAAATAACTGGATGCTTACTGGGGGAAAGGGGTCGATACTCGCACAGTCTCGCAGCCCAGTGACGACTACCAGCTAAACAAAACAAGGCTATACAACGTTAAAACAACACTGAGGTCATACTTACAACTCCAAAGTTCCTAAAAATAAGATGCTTTAAACGTAGACGATAACATCAAGGACATACGCCGCTGATTGACGAGTCATGTGCTTTTCGGCTAATCAAAGATACAACTGTAATTTGACTCACACCATCGCATTGGGGGAAATCAGAGTTTTTGCGTCAACCATTCTTTCTCCACGATTTATTTTATTTGGTAAATTCGGTTCCGTTGAACACAAATTCCGTTGTTCACAAATCTTACTCAAGTGGAGATTCGACTTCCATGTATGGTGATGACTTTTGGGACATGTCGTAACTTCTGTGATTCTCTTTCGGTAATTAAACCGGTAAAATCCAAAAGAGAACATCAAATCTGGGAACATTGAAGACCGCTAAAATATAATCAGTGCGATGGTGGTAGGCTTGTGTAGCCATCTGTGGCAGGGAGCCGCTGTCTCTAGGAAGAAATGAACATTACCATATGCGCAGATGGACAGTCTTCAGCCATGATGGCATCCTTTTTTCCCTCAAGTACCCGGGAAGCTTAAATCGTCTTGCGTTCAATATCAGACCATCAGGCCCCTGGCGAGCGACCACACGCAAGATACGCCCTGCACTTTTTTTGTCTCCTCCCGTTCTGATCGAGAACCATCATTAACTAAAGTGCCCAGGGCACCCGTGGAACTCCATCGCTGTCTTCGTTGACAGCGACGTGCGTGTACATCCGTGGACCTGTCGACCCGGTGATCCCGCCCCGCTCCCCCACGCCGTGCGCGCCACCGCCCCCCGATTGTATGCGTTCACTAACTAGTAGGTCTCCCGCGGAATACTGGACCAGATAGCTCGTAATAATAGGTGGCGCTTTCCTGTAGGCCTATGTCACGCGCTGTGAAATCAGTTACACATCCCTCCTAAAGTTTTGAGTAAATGGTATTCAGCTTCAAACTTTTCTATTGTGTTATCTGTGAAAAAAACAAGAACAAAAAGCAAAACTGGGCTGTGAGTGTTGCATTGTGACTTTTCTAAATTTGGAATTTTGGAATAATAAAGGGATGCTGCTGGGCACACAGTTCAACCATAGAGGAATAAAGTTTCCTCCATGATTTAACTTGGCAACCGTTTCTCACAAAAATGATGAACCAGATTATCTGGTTGTCTACAGCTGGGCGATGGTACTGCATAGGCCTACATTAAACCTCTCCTATCTGGCCTTCTTAGCCTGTAGAGGTAGCGTTCATGTCAACGCGGAGTCATAGTAAGTCATACATCCATTCTTAAACTCCTTCTTTGACTTCAGCATCATAAAGAGAAGACGAGTGAAGGTGTCAGCACTGTCAAACTGCAGCTGTTTTAAATCATTACGCTAGGATGTGTTTCATACTGATTTTGAAAGAATGCCAGATGGTGTGAGGCTCAACCCGTGGACCCAGTTACGAGTGGAGATTTTATTTTTGACTTTCACGAATTGAGCCGGGGGCAGAACCGTGCTGTTCCAGGTTGAATCGAGGACACGTCGCGATCTTGGCACGAAAGAAGAAGAAAAAAAGTTCTCCTCACCGAAACTCGGGGGTCCATACCCTGGGGCGACGTGCCGGCTATAGCCGAGTTGTACTGCCGGGCCATCAGTCCTTTACACCTGTCGGCGGAGGTAACCCCACCTATTGTTCCGATGATAGCCGCGAAATGCCCGCGGGAGCCCCGAGAAGCCAAGGTGTTGAAATGACCGGACGAAGAGGAGTCAGGCGCCGGCCAGGTTCGGGGGCCTGAGGTAGGCCTGGGCCCGGTTAAGAGAAAGAGGGAAGGAGCTTGGATCGAAGGTGTCCCTGGTGGATCGCGTGCTGTGCCTTGAAACAGACAGATTGCCATGTGCTTTTATCTCGGACTCCCCAAAGACTGGCAGAACGACATGGCATTAAATAAAGCAACATTCTGGTGCCAGTAATAGACGATAAAATCATGCCAAAGTTGTCAGGTAAAGCAAGCGTGCCTTTCGCTGATCTGACTTAAAATTTTAAACAAGAGACTTTAACCACATTGACCTTTGATTTCAAATTCCATTTTACACATCTAACGCCACTTGTGTGGACTATTTACAAAACTGCGTATGTTTATGGTGCCTTGTAGGGTACCAAACAGTAAGAAGTGCCCCCAAGGAACATTCGTTGTAGGCCTATGTGTAGGATACTTAAACGGCACCCCACAAGAATTTCACGAAATAGATTTTTGGAGTTTACTCAAAAGGGAGGAATTCCCTAGGTAGACTTATCCGTCGGAAAATGATTTTTTTACATGCGGACGTTTGGTCGAAATATCAACCCAAGAAACACAGTCTGGTTTAAATGGTAGCAATTTGGAAACTGCGCTTCAAGAACAAAGAAAGAATACTAAATACATGTATAAGGGTTTGTGTTTTCTTTCTGGTGTTATAAAGAGGTCAGATGGGCGATGATCGTCAAGTTAGACTCATATCCCGTACAAATAGCCTTCTGCACTGGACAAATCCCTCAACGTAACTTGGCCTGCGTGAGTTCATTGCGAGTATTATTTTGATACCCTCTTGCTTTGAGGGTATATACCTACGCACCTGTCATACACGACAAATAGCCCGGGACATCAGAATATATAAACTAGGACAATTTTTTTGTTGTTGTTTGTTTTTACGAAGAGAATATTGATTTGGAGCCTCTTTAAAATAAATCCACACCAGAAAGCTCGTTCACTTCCATGACCGCTTTCGAAAGTACGAGGGGCCCCCTGCTGGTTGGGGTCTAGGTCTTCCCTCGTTCCACGTCTGTCCCCTGCCGTCAACATTTGTCTCAGCGCCGTATCGCCAGCGCCGATACTCAACCACTAGGACACGGCCGTAAGTTTGTCGTGAGAAGAGAAAAAAAGAGCAAAAAAGGGCAAAAAAGAGAGAAATGAAAAAGAAAACCCGAAGGGCAATAACCGAGGCGGGAATCCCACGGGAGCCGTCTGATTGTCTTCTTTTCTGCCCGGCACGTACGGGGGAATAGTCCCCGTACTCCTTGAATGTCACTTCATTATTCATAATACCGCACTCGCTGTTAGCTTTTTTCCCCTTTCTCCAGCCCCGAGTAAACCTGTGTTTGTGCAATATTTGTGTGCCCAGCGTCAATATTGGGGCTATAATGTGAGTCTGTTGCCCGCCAGATCGCGGCTCACGTAGCGCGATCCCAGTCGGCCATTTCGGTTCATTATGCACTCTTTGACTAAAACCATAAGTGGAAGTTTTTTTTTTCTTGGTTAGAATTTTCTCCTTGTGTTATGCTGATTGTGTTTCCACAAGTATATAGAGGGTCGGTTTTTATGTATAAAATGTGTTTATTTACTTTGGAATCTCATACAGGTACGTGGTTTCGTCCGCGCTGTGATGTTTCATCTCGGTGAAGAGGCGTGGGTTTCCTTTCTTTTTAGAGATCCTTGAGGAAAATGTGCAGGAGGCGAGAGCGTAAGGCCAGAAATACATGGTGAGTTTCAATTCTGGTGTTTTCTTTCTCCAAGACGCTTTCATTAAAAAAAAGAGTCTCGATACTCGCATCTTGTTTGTCTTGGATGCTCGAATGTTGTCGTGGTTTTCATCTTCATTGTCGTATGATATTGTCACAAGAAGTTGAGGTTGTCGACGTGTCGGTATTTCTTCGCATAGCGAGAGATGTGTTCCGTAGCTAGCTTTTCAACTCAGCAGAATTTTATGCAGGGATAGAGTTCACAATTACAAATCTATTAGTAATTACTTCTCATTAGCCGACTTCAGAATTGGCGATTCCCACTCTTCCGAGACTCCCGAACTGACTTTTTTTTCTGAATTCATCTAACCAGCCTTCTATTTCTTTGGTCACCGGTAAATTGTTGCAATCAGCGAATGTTTATCGGCGCGTTACAGATTAACAGTTCCAATCCCCTTTTTCGCCTTGCATTTAGTTTTTTGGAGATTTTGCGCGCTTTTTTCTGACGTAGGCCTGTATAGGAACTAAATCCATATTTTTATATCTGCCCGGCTCACCTTTTCTGGTTGTTGTGTTTTTCCCATTGGCATCCCACTCGATCTTTGCTGGGTAAAATAGGAATTTAGCTGTAATTTCCAAGACCTCATGACTTATAATTTTGTAGACGCGGCGAGGGGGGGGGTGTTGTTGCAGTGTGGTTACAGCTCACATCTCAAGCAGGAAAAGGTGTGAAGGGAACGGCTAGACGGGCCACGCGTTACGTGTTTTTGTAATTACACGAGTGAACGCCAGCCTACCTCCGCTGCACCCCCAAAAAATTCCCTCGAGTGAGGTCAATGTTTAACCTCATAGAGTATACATCATCATGCGTCGCGGTTCCCGACGCACCTGGCTAGCACAAGCCGTGCCGCGGATAGACAGAGTGGACCGGTTAATGTGCCCCCCAAATTAAAGAGGTGTAGTCGCCTCAGACAGACAAAACAACAAACCGATTTTCGGAAAATATCTGATAGCTTTTATGCAAAATGCGATGCTTAATCAGTGTCGTGTTGGGTCTCGTTTGGGTAGTTTGGATCTTTCTCGGTTAATCCAACAGTAGGGCTTTGTTGGCCGGTCCACCGCAGCTAATTTGACTGACAGAGTTCAGTTCTGTTCTAATAACTTGTAAACTCCTATTAAATCAGGTCTGTTTTTTCCCTTATATGGACTCCCAGCATCACTTCGCGGCAGGGTTGTCGTTTGTTTGACAATTATGTTTGTTCATGTGCATTGCGGTCAATGGATCAATAAAGTTTTCGTGAAGGCCAAATTGCAAGCTACACCAGTTCTTCAGTAATTTTAGCTTGATGTGAATTCCTTCTCTACCATTCGCTCATTTTTGGAGCGGCTAAAATGAGGATACGGTCTGCGACGGAATGCAATTCAGAGCAGGTACATGTACAAGTTCTGTCAGCTTTGCGCACAAGGCCGCTCTGATTTTGAAACAGGAGGGACGTTTCCCAGCTTCCCCTGTAGGTTGGAGAAATCTTTAACAGCTAAGCTTAAACTGAAACTTAATCGGAAAAACCACACACAAACACAACAGGCAATCAAGACAAACACAAAGAGAACATTTGGTATTGAAGGCTTTTTCTTTCAGTTCACTTTCGTCTCTGCCGTAAATATACTAAAAGATTTACTCAACCATCGGGGAACGGGGCGAAGACCGAAAAACCCCTTTCACATTCCAGAATTCCCTGGTAACCGCTTGAATTTGTGTGGGCATGTTAAAGACGGGAACCCGGAGATTCCCTCCGCAGTTTGATTTGATCATGCTTGTACAGGTGCGTTTTGTTACTATTTAGCTATATTAGTTCGGTTTTCATTATGTTTTGTTTTTGTTTAAGCAACTGCACCGTGTATAGGTGTGTTTGTTTTACTTTTGATTTGTGCTTGATCTTTGTGAAAATTTTTACCCTTTTTGGACTCCTACAACGGCCAAACATGAGGTACTCTCCCACAAAACTACCCGCGTGTCATTTCTTTCCGTCCCATCTTCGAGTAAAATACAGTCGCCAAACTATCGTCCAGAAGCACGTACCAGCAATTTATGTGTTACATGCCGGTTGAACTAGGGAAGAACGACATTCTATAACATTTTTGCACACAAACCCTTCTCTTTATTTCGGTGGTTTTGGAGTTCTGTTGTCTCGGGAAGGGATTTGCAACACGGGAATTTCAAGACAACGACACTCTGCTTTCAACATAATTCCGCACATTTTCTCAAAATTGCCATTGTAGCTTTTTCAGAATCTTCAATGAAGAGGCCTGTGAAGTCGGATCACTTCCCACCGCTAAATTCTGTTGTTATTGTGCGTCGGTGTGAGTTGATGCTGTTCCCATCAAATTAGAGGAAGGGGCTCGCTGCTGTACCGTACAAACGCGACCACGAATAATTCACCCCATCACCGCTGCCGTTGAGCTGCTAATCCCGTCATTTTGGGAGGGATTAAAACCTGATCAAAATTCCCATGAAATCTAATCACATCTCGGGGATTATCGGTCAAGCCTGTAATCGGCAGAACGCCGAGCGACAATCCGTCACCTTGATTTGATGGTAAGGGAAAGGGCGAACCGTTCTGACAGGCACGATTCTGTAGGGAGAGAGGCCGATACGTTTGACCGTTGACCAAAACCTTTTCGGCTAGTCACAAAAATTGGGAAAATTGCTCAGGTTTCAACATGTTCAGGAATGTGGACCTTAAGGAAAAGTAATAATTTCTTTTAGATTGGATCAAAGGCGTTCTCCTTGTGCTTTGTTCTTTTTGGGGGTGGGGTTTTCGCTGGCCCCGGGAACACAGTTAGGGAAAAGGGAGTTCTTAATGTTAAATGGCACATCATAGGCTAGCACAGCGCCAGTTTACGCCGGTCTGAGACCTTTGAAGTTGACTTTTTTAAACTGACTGAAGTCAAATCTAATTCAAATTTATCACTTTATACAGGGAAAGTTAGATTTCGAGTGTACACCGTTTGTTGTAAGGTCGCATTTCATAGACTGTGGACAAAATCAGAACGAATTTAAACATAAGGAAAATGTCCATAGAGTAGGCTTATATAGCCTTTTCAGTGAAGCTGAGAGAACGTGTGTTTTTAAAAGTTTGAACTTATTTGATGATCCGCTTTTTTTACAAAAATACCAGAACTGCGTCGTCAAGTGCTTAGGCAACAGATATGTAATGAGACGTCAGTTCTAATATTGGGATATTTTATTGTCATATCTGAATATCCAGCAGAAATGAGACTGAGGGGTACCCCCATCATGTCCAATCGCTATACACGCTCTAGACTATTGTTACCTAACACCCCCCCCATGTCTGAAAAGAATTCCTCAGATTCCAGTGAAACAATGACCAACACAAAGCCGGGGGGGGTCTCTCTGTCCCATCTCTTGCTTCATTTGGATATTCCTTCCAATAGCTGTACGTCCTTTGTTGTCTCCGTACGAAGAAACAAAAAGACAGTTAAATCCCTGTTTGTTCAAGTGCTGGTTTGGCCAAGGGATCTACGGCCTATGTTCCATGCGCAGCATAATAGACGTGACAGTAAATCGACATCCTGTATCGCTCCTCTTTTGTTCCACTCAGGATGCCGTTGATTTCAGAAATAAAGCTGTACAGCTGTGCCCTCATTCATCACTGGTCATTTTGTAGCGTTATCACGCAGGGCAACCAAATCTTACTCGTCACACAATGAAGTGACCAACCAGTACACGTCGCGCAGTGTGGCAGCCATCCCATGTTCTTCGAAGAAAGCATACTACAATTTAACAGCGACTTCAGATCTAAATTAGGATAATTATTTTCGATCTTATTTTCCTGTCTAAAATCCCCGAATAAGCCTTTTCTAAGTTAAATTTGAATAAAATCTGGTACACTGAGTTCTTTAAATTCAGGTGAACATGCCAAGTTGAATTCTCCAGACTAAAAACACTGCTACTGTAGGCCTACCTCATGAACCGGGGCAAGCTTTTGCTTAGCTACAGAAGAAACGCCTTGCACCAATGCACTGTTTTTCAATGGATAAAAAGGGCACCAAGGAACCACGGTGCAGAGATGGTGATCGCCCTGCTAAAGATTGCCCTGAATCATGAGGTATAGCAATAGTGTCTTTAAGCATGGGAAATTCAAATTGTTGTGTTTATGTGCTGTCAGATAATTCTGTCTACCAGATTTTATTCAAATTTAACCTGTAAGAGGCTTATTGCGAGCCCATTCGGCTAGATCATAGTGCGGCACGAAATCGTACAAGAATATGGATGGTCTTCGAAATTTTATTATTGAGAAGCACGTAAGTGTAAAATAAATAACACTGGCACAGACTATGGGGACTTTCTTTGATGGTGGCACAATAGAGAGAAACAAGCCTAAGAAAAGCTGAATCCACGATAGAAACGACACGTTAAGGAACAAGCCAGCTCCGCACACACGTTTCCCAATAGTAGATTGCCTCAGTAAGTACTGTTGATCTTAGCCTTCTCATATCATCGTGAAATACCCTTTAAGGTGTAAGCAATTTCCTTAATTAAAAACGAGAAGAAGAGAGCTTCACAATCGTTGGTGGGGCTTTTCAGACAATGGCCACGCTCCCCGTGCTCGGTTTGCAACCGTGCCGAGATGTGCCTCATCCTGCTGCGTTACTAACTCTACTGAGCATGCGTGTTCGTTGAGGAATGTACCGGTACACAACAAAGGTGATGTACATGTACACATGCACGCTCTCGGACACTCGCTCGGAAATACAAATAACGGCGCCAAGCCGACACTCCGATTCGCCGGACCACACAGACTGACCTTGATCCGCAGCTTGCGAGGATTAATATCCGAAATCTCGCATCAGGTTTAACGTCATAAGCCCGACCACTACCTCATCTACGTCCATCAAGATAATTAATCGCCAATGACAATTACACAAGCGCCAATTTCGAGTGTCAAATTAAGTCCAGTGGAAGTCGAACGACTTTGACGCACTTCGTCAACGTGAAAGGAAAGACAGTTTTATTAACATACAGTTCAGGCGAAAAGAGTTATTCTCAAAGACAGCAGTGTTAATTTTCGAGTGAAGAATTGAATTTTTTTTCAGTAACAGATGAGGTGCTTCAGAGATTTTCCCAATCACAAAGAACAGAGTATTCGATTGAGTATTCAATGTATTGCCTATCTCACGTTGCTGTTGCATTACACTAAATTAGGCCGATATTTGTTTTAAGAATTGCTAAGAGTCAGACTAGTACCATGAGAAAAGCACTGAAACTCACTTGCAAAACAACGCCAACTGTTGAGAAACATTTAGATATCTTTCACCGTAAGCCAAAAACTGCAGTGCGCATGAATGTTATTTCGCATGTACATTGCAGAAGGCGTCCGTTGACGTACGCTGAGGTTTGCTTGTCATACGTTTCAAATGCGATTATTTTGTAAGAGTCCGCACAATGATATATTTAATAAATCGTCACCGATTGGTGCACGTGAAGGAGTCGCTCGTATGGGCGTCTGCATGCAGTACAACTGATCTCCAATGCACGAGGTTGAAATTGTTGCTGCAGATGATACGTGCGAAGTTACGGTATCACATCTTTAGGTTGTCCATATGCAACAAAACTTGGGGAAAGATTCTCTCAAAATGTACTTGTCATAATCATGGTTGTCTTAAATTCATCAAAATATCGAAATATTATGCCGCGTATGCTGACACTCACAGCGCCCTCTTTTGATTAAAACAGCACTGCTGTCAATACTCAAGTTTTCCTTTAAGGGCGGACATTTTGTTCCATTAAAAAATGGTCGTTTCTTTTTATTTTCCTTTCTTCTATTTGTCATTTTAAAATGCTGTAAGGCAAGTGCCATGCAGGAAGGCAGCTTCTAGTTTGGCACTGCCTTTCTGTTTTCAGAATCAAGCGGTGTAGCACGAACTTGACTTCAGGGAACCATACCGGACGAAGGCCGCAATGTTGCAACGTCCGGGCGGTGTGAAGTGCTTTGCTATAAAATGCATGCATTTGGTGAGCGGATAGCAGTGCGATCTGCCAAGTGTGGAGATTTTCAGAAAGATAACATTCTCTTCCTCGGTTTTTATTTCCCACGAAGAGGGTGTCTAATACCGCTTGTCAAGGGTATTCAGTTAGTAATGGAAATTCGCGGCACTCTATTTCTGTATTCCAACTATGTGATTTATGGTTCATATTGTACCTTGTCTTCTACTTAAATATCTCAGAGAGTGAAACCCATGTTGTAGCAACGGGAGCATTTCGTTGGGGAGTTATATCGATACTCGCTAAATGGTCATATCGAACTCATAAGGGTTCTACTTACATGTAATGCCCATTCGACTACATCACTCTTCAAGTTCTTATTCAATCATCGACAGGAGAAGACAGAAACCAGAAACTTCATTAAATAGTGATGGCTTGTCCGGTATTCTCTTTCCTCGTATTGTACTCGGAAATCAATCCGGGCAGAAATGTATCCTGTCTCGAGCCACCTGCCCGGTCTGACACAGAATACAGGGGCCGTCGACTCCACGTTGCCCGCTCTCCTTCGCGGTGATTCGCGCTAAAACGTCGGGACTCCGCACGTACCCCTTGCCAACGTATCAGTTGCAAAATTTGGAACTTTTGGTCGGGGGGGGGAGGAAAAATGAAATTAATTGCGGCATATGGAAAAGTACTGTGGATGTAGAACCCTATAATATAGCGCAAGTCTGAATTGGAGAGCCCTTTATTTCGGTCGGTCGGCAAGCCGTGTGTGTATCATTCCACGCACCGGGTTCCCCGTTACATTATCCGTCCGTGGCACCGGCTTGTGCCTCGGGGCTCAGCCGTGCCGATTTCCAGTCATATTGAGTGGCCGTGTAGACTGCTTTTCCTACGATATTGTATAACCGTCATCACTCTGCGAAGTTGCATATGGTGAGTTTTTTTTATCGTCAAGTGAGAGGCCTTGTTATGATTTGATGAAATATTGATCCGGCACTATAGGAAATGGGAATCTTTGCAATCATAGAATCTCTACACGGACATACGTAGGGTATACAGTTCGGATCTCGGCCCAATTTCATCCTGTGAGAGGAACTATCCACTAGTAGACGGATTGTGATTGGTTCTCTCTGTGTGATTCTATTACACACTTGTGGTCTTGCCCTGCATGAGATAGGCCTTTGAATTGTACTGACTTTGCAAACCGTGATTAGAAAGGGCTCTGGTGTGTGTAGTAGTCTTTAATGAATCGTTTTAATCTTGTTTTCTTTATGAGTAAAATTGAGAGGAAAACTAGCATTAATTATAAACTCAAAGCCGAAAATGCAACTTTAGTGGACCTGAGAAAGATTTATTTGACTATTTTTAATACATCAATGAATAGTAAAGTCTCCTTTTCGCCATTAAATAATCAATGATAACCACCAAGTTAAACAGTTGTCAGTTTGGGGCAGTGGCCGATTTTTAATCATTTTGATTTATGTCAGAATTTAATCTCTTTTGTGTAAGGATGACAGCGAATCACTTACACGTCTCGGGTACGTTTCTCCATGGTGCCTAATCACTGTTTCCGAGCGTTCAGTTAGGGCTCGTAACATGTGCAACCTAAAGACGCCTCTGGTACAATGTGAAAATTGGCCAGAAAACCAGATTTCTTTTAACTTTACATTAATGCTTACTTTTACACTTGCCAAAATGTTCTCATTATTTAATTCACTAAGATCCGCACCAGTGACAATATGTTAAAGGAAATTCTCATTCCAAAGGAGTCCCAAATTCGCACCACTCCGGCAACGGCCAACGTATGAACTCCTATAGGGAGATTAAAAGGGAAACGTTTTCGTAGGGGAAGGGGGAAATTTCGAATTGAGGTGTCTTAACCTTGGCGCAGAGGGCCAAAACATAACAAAAGCCCGGCACGAAGTTCAGCGCCCTGGAAACGGGCCGGGGAAAAGGGAACTGACACACGCAGCTAGACCCGTCGATTATGCAGGACGTGGCCCGGAGTTGACAAAGTAGCCTAAGCTGTCCGCAAACAGACGACAAAAGCCAGCCTTTTCGGGCGACCCAAAGTTGCAGTAAATCTAGTGCACGGCCGTCTGCGCGTGTCATACGGAATCGGGTGACATTTGCAGACGTGTCAGTCACCTTCACGCTGGCAAGGCGGGGGGGGGTCCGGGTTTGATCGCTGGTGACCCTCTCGTCAAGCTTTTTTTTTTCGTCAAGCATTTAAAAAAATCAACCGCACCCTGTTATGGTTTTGTTAAAACTGAAAAATACAAAAGTGCTCCCAAAATCAAATTGCCAGATAAAAAGAGGACACTGTACAGAGCTGTGGAAGCATTGGCTTTACTACATTATTTGCCCGTACAATCAGAAGAGCCCAGCAAAACCTCGCCTGCCATTTGACAATGTTGGCTGTTGTTTCCGGGGCGGGGAAAAAAACGGCCTTCGCCGTTTCCTTTTAGTCATTCCGATCATTTCTCAGTCGTTGGAGCTGTGTTTTCCTCTCCTAAACGCCACGACAATGCCCGTCGATCTCTTACCCTCCCTCCGCCATCCCATCTGATGTCTCTGTTTGCTGAGCAGGTTTCCTGTCCGATTGTGTGCCCGCTAAGAAACTGAAATCCCGCTGAAGGTCGCTCCTGCCTTCGACCGTCTTTCTTCATTTCCCCCCACCCCCAGCTCCCCTGCGTGTCCCTTCCCGATCTCACAAGGGAGCATGATTGAACTACAGCAGAGCGTCTTCCTCGGGAAAAAAAAAAGAGAAGAAAATGAAGAGGATGACAGGAATCATAATAAAATGGACGGGATGCCGAGTGAGCGAGCGCGCTGCTGGAAAATAAGCGGCCACTTTTCTACCCGTATATTGGTATTTTCCTGCACTTTGTCCGCCGAAGAATAACCGACAGAAAAAGAGTCGAGTTCCCTCAAGGGCTTTCTCCCCAGCATGGAAACGCCTCAAGCTCGGCCAGCTGCTGGTTATCTCGGGGAAAAAAAATTGAAGGCAGAAAAAAAAAAATCGCCAAGCAAACAGGCGTGTTGTACACCGCGATTATTGTACGCTACGCTAAACGCATTGTGTGCACCAAGCGCTTAGAACCCAAGCACACGGGGGCTCATGGCATGGGACGCAATCCTAAGTGTTATTCTTTTCCTCTCTTGCTATTTTCATAAACTCGGCGTCACAACAGTCCCCTTAGTTTACCCTTTCAGAGTAAATTTCAATTTTGTTTTTCCCCTTTCGTTCTTCTCTCCCCACACCAGGTATCCAGTTTCGAGCCGGGCTGGTCCCTTGTGTAGTTCAGATGGACGGTTCTACCTCTGAAAGGGATTACAAAATCCTCGAAAAACGCAGAGGGGCAAATGCAGGAATAAGATCCTGTTTTAGGCGTTGGCGTTGTCGCATTAAGTTGGGTAACCGTTTCGTTCCTCCCGGTGGTATATATTGCCTCATGTGCAGACAGCCCGGACCAGACACCTGGAACGCCGTCGTCAGGCCGGGCTCTTGATCCCAGCTTTGAGCGGTCGGGACGGGTCCAAGAGGTGAGTCCCATGCCTCTGTAATTTGTCTGTCGCCTGGCCCGTGCCTTCTACCCCGAGCCACGGGGGCTGTTATGATCGACCCCGACAGTGTTGACAGGTAGAGCGGCGGTTTCTGCTGCACTCCCACGGTTAGAGATGACAAGTGCAACTGAGGATTCGTTTCCTTGTTTCAGAAGGCATAGCCCGCTGCTTGAACCTGTGAATTCGAGTTAAATGTTGCCTCTAATAACACTTATTCCCTGAGTTTAAAAACGAACTCTTGAGAAAGAGAGCCATGCAGAGAAAAATCCGACATTGAATGACTGCAATTATTGATAATTTTCTATCGATCACTGATCAGGAAATGCTAAAGAGTGGCATCGTTAATCGGAATAAGAACAGTATTAAGTACCCCTTATTTATTCCTAGATGTCGTAGCTCACACGTGGTGGAAATGAACCAGATTGCGATGGGATTTCATGTGCATTTTAGCACTGATCTGGCTGCATGCTCGGCCCAAATGTTTCTGCAGCATTGCTTGAACGGCCCCAGCACAGTACTGTGCCGTGTGGAATGAATTTCCCATTCATTTGTGAATGCAGTTGCCATGCTTGTACACACTTAAGAATGAATCGGGCTGAACAGAGAGCAGCAGACTGCAAAAGCAATGAGAATTTCGGCCAGATTGTTGGATTACAAGAGCGCCATTCCTCCAGCGTTATCTTCCCCGGAACAATTCTCTTGCACGTTCCAAATCTCATGTGTCGTGGATCTACGTAAGACCATTTTTTGTAAGACTACTAAAATAATTCTTGTTTCAGTAATGTTATGTGAAGCAAAGGAATCGTCAGAACGGAGAGAAATCTTTATATGCACATAACTGTGGGGCAGATTTTGCTAACAATTTGCTCACATTATTAAAACGAGTCCGTGCGTTTTCTCTCTCCTTGTCCTTGCCATCTCTCCCCGGCCGAGTTGATACGGCGAATTTACCGCGTCCCCCCAACGCCGCGCCGGTTCGGGTCTTTTCACGGGGGGGGGGAGAACGGATGACGGAGGGGAGAAATTACTTCTGGTCGGCTGGGCTCCGCGGAGCTCTCGCCAAACCGTCAATTAGCCTGACTAGAGCACGAGCACCTTGACCAGGTGGAGGGACCGCGTCCACATCAGCCCCCCCATGCGCGGCGTGACGAGCCGGCCCTAATGAAATCACTTTCGGAATAAGGGGAAAAAAGGTGGACGGGAGAGCCGCGTTTATCACTGAAAAAACGCCCCCCCCCAAAAAAAAAAAGCCTGGAGTTGCCATGTGTAACATGCAGGATTTCGCAGTGAATGAACCCAAGCAGGCGTGATAAAAGCACCAGAATTGTATTATTAACTGATCATGCATTCGTCATAATGGTTGCCTTCTTTAATTTCCGCGATTTAGACTCGGCAACGCTTTCGTCGATGAAATCAATTTCCATCAGAGCGCATGTGAAAAGAGGATCAGAATTACACCATTCTCGTCCCCTTGCAAAATATTTGAATCAGAAGGAACTGCTCTGTAGCTTTGTCGAATCTTTAACTAAAGTAAGATCAAAATTAAACATTAATTTTTAAATATAATGTTCATTCATCTCTTTACAGAATCACCAGCAAATCATCATATAAAACAGGAAACAGACAATAAGGCTTGAAAATCACGGTTTTACTTGGTTCTGTCTTCGGAAAAGAGGATAATAGGCCTAGAATTTAAAAAAAACGGGTGAAGGAAGAATGTGGACGCCAATTTTCCTACTAATTAAAACGTATTTATCCAAACTTTGCACCTGGTCGGTAATTAGTAATTATTAGTATAAAACATTTATTTCAACTTTCAGATGATGAAATAGACTAGGTCACACGCTGTAAGGTCTGTAGCATAATACACATACATGTACAAGGCTGAATTTCACAGAATATCAAACTATAATACATTAAATTCCTCATTTTGACATTCATTACGCTCGTATTTCTAGAATATTGACGAATTTGAGAAGCACTCACTGATTTTGTATTCAAATTTTCAAACAAACAATCCCTTGTAGTTTTTGGCTTGGCCTTGCGGATGAAGCCAAATGTAGATAGCCTGGTTTATGGCAGAACCACAGGGAAGATGCGCCCGGTAATCAAATTTGCATAGCATTAATACCAAGTGGGTCCCCGTGGCCGGTCAGACCAGGCTAATTTACTTTGACCTTTATCACTGACCTTTTTTTTAATTGACCGGGTCATGGTGCCGGTTTAACAGGTGGCTTGGATTGGTTGTAATGTGCAATTGTCCGTATCAAATTCTTTCTTTCATATTTTATTTAATGGTTTGAGTTAAGCCCTTTAGGGAAAAGAGTTTGTGCTTAATGTTATTTTGATTGACAGGGAGGGCATCAACAATAACCAGTCAGCAGATAGTCCAGCGTGAGGTACATGGTGTGCCGTTAAAACCCTCATATATAGCTAGAAAACCAATGTGTTTAAACGGATGATCACTTGAAACCAGTTTAAACGTCCCGGAGGTTTCAATTTTTGTAACTTGTAGATAGCATTTTAAAATTTGATTTTTTAAATGCCATTAATCTTTTTACAATCGCAGCATCGATCCAATCATATATACAATGAATATTTTACTCAAAAATCATAGGCCTATTCCCGTTTGCGCCTACTTGAGTCTGGTCATTATGAACAAACCGCGTTTTGAGGGGAATTTCCTTTCGTTTTCGTCTCGAGCTTTGTTATTCTTCTGCTGCCTTATAGAGTTCCATCTCGATAGAATTTGTTCATGTGAAGATATTACTATTTATTTTAGGCATGACCAGTTGAGCCAATTCGATTTGATGGCGTCGAGCTAAACTGTAGATTACTTCATAGCCTTTTCCAATTTTTCTTAAAGTTATGTTACCTGTAAATTTGGCAAGCGGTAGACGCTTATCCCGATGGAGCGCATGACCCTTATTGCACTGTCCCACTTGGTGTATGGTGCCCAGACTTCTCCCTGCGTAACGCAAGGCATCTGAGGCTCCTGACCTTTTTCAAGTTCTGCCGACGTCATTAGTGTTTCCCGTTTGACCTTGACAACTGCACAGCGAAAATGTCATTAATCGTTTCAAACGGGTAGCAATCTCGACAAAAAGGCTAGGTTTCCTAAATTACCACTTAACATAATAGGATTTATAATAATTAGGGAAACTTGGACTATGATAAATCGAGGAATTTAACCTGAGCTACTGAAATGATTAAAATAAGATTCATATAGCTTGCCTTTGTATCGTCATCAAGGTATTACAACAGTATAAACTGTAAAGATTGGTTGGTTGATAGTAAAGTAAATTTCAATCGTAGTTATTGTCCATTTTGAAAACAAAAGAGAACTACACCGTGAGAGATTAATTCTGCGGTTAAAATGAAATTGGGCAGCTGGATTATTTGCAGTCGACCAGGTTTAGCCAATTTAAAGTCTGTCGGTGCGTGATATATACATTTGAAATTGAAGCTTTATTAATCTTTCCATATTTGGTTAAGCATGAGTGTGGGTGCAGTTTTTAGCAAAGCAGCTGCCGCAGGGATACAAATTTACAAACTTTTAAATTTAAAACGTACGTAAGCACACAAACATGCAATTTATTTAGCTGTGGAAGTCATTAGAAATCCCAACGCAGTTCATGGCATTATCATCATTTACCAGAACCAAGTTTACATTCCTTCCTTCAAACCAAGTTTACATTCCTTCCTTCAAACAATAAGAGGGCGAGACGCTGGAGTCCTTTTCTCAGGGCTTGCGTTCTGAAAGCTTCGCATCACTAGAGACAGATCTCCGGTTCGTCCGTTGTCTCCTCTTTTCTATTAGTGTCTTGCCCTGGGTCATATCTAGTAGTAGCCAGGTTGAGAGTATGCCCTCAACAGCTCTACAACATTATCAACAACATCATCCCTCCCATCTCAATACGCTAGTGTATCACCGACTGAAGGAAACTAATCGGGATTTGTTTGAAACAACTCTTCGGAGTGGATTTTAGTAAGGAAGTTACGATTTTCAAGGTGTAGAACGTTGTACCTTGTCGGCAGTAATTGAGAAAACATAAGGACCCCTGAAGTGTGAGTACTGTATTCCTGGTCGCTGTTCAATGATGCAATGTAACGGTCAAGACTGGTTTCTTTTGAGAGGTCGTCTTTTATGGGTCGTGACTGTTCATTCATGAATAGGGATTCAGGGAGACCTCCAGTCCTTATAAATGAAACGAATCCTTGAAACCGACTTGCGAGAGCACGGACAGAGACAGAGGTGGATTGTTGCAAGAGGGGAATTAAAGACGCATATTTCATGCTTTTGTTTCTCTTTTTTGTCTTTGCCTTTTTAATGCGCTGAAAGCTAAAAGAAGAAACCGTTTTATGTATAAATTTGAAGCTTGTGTCTATTTCTCCATTTCAGAGATGTATCATGAAAGGCACACTTTAAATGTTCACGTGAGGTGAGTGATTCTGTTGAAGCAATCATTTGGAAGACTGATGATTCAAATTCAACAATTCAAATTTGAAATATGTCATTGCGTCACCGTGCTCCGGGGAAATAGATCTTGCTCTTGCCAACAAGTCAATCCGGTCTATGGATTCGACCGACTTCGGGATAGAAAGCACGTCTCGTCCTCTGGCTTTTTCTTGTGATTTTGCTCTTATCAAAATGGGTTTCGTATCGTGTCACTCGAGGTTTAGTTGATAAGTTCGCCAATTCCATTTTGGAGGGTCTCTCTGTTATCTTTGACTCGGGGTCTGGCCGGCGAATAGTTGGCCAAGGGACATGGCTAGGGAGACGTGGAGAGAGGTCCCAGGTCCTGGACCCCTGGTACCCCGTCCTTTCATCGTGAGGACACATTTTGCGTGCCGACCCCGTCCGAACGCCCCGTCGAGGCGGAGTGCTGTTTTACTGTAGCATCAAATTATTCATAGAGAAGTACAGTTTGGTGGGCAATTCCCCCCCCCTCCACACACACACCGGGGCCTGTATCGTG